GGACGTGGACCCCGAGCTGCTGAGGTACCCCTGCAAGAGGGGGTCGGGGGCGGGCGCCAGCATCCTGGGAGGAGGGCGAGGAGCTGCCGGGGGGCTGCTTCAGGAGGTGGAGGTGCGAACCACTGGGTCCTGCGACCCTAGGAGGGACTTTGGTTCTGGACCCAGAGTGTGGGGGCAGAGATGACTGGGCGGGAGGACGAGTGGGAGTCGGGGAAACTAGTTTCAGGAATGGGAGGCGGGGACCTTCATCTCCTGAAAGCAGTGGGACGCCTGGGTGGGAAGGAGGCTGCCAGGTTCCCAGGCTGTAAGCGGTTGCGCGCCACTTAGGTCCTAGGGCCGGGGCGTTTTCACTGAATTCTGCTATGCTCCCCTGCAGGTATTTGTTGGGGCGGATCCTCGCGGGAAGCGCGGACTCCGAGGCTGTGGCTGCCCCGCGTCGCCTCCGCCGTGCCGCGGACCAGGATCTGGGTCCTGAGGTGCCCCCTGAGGGCGTGCTGGGGGCTCTGCTGCGTGTAAAGCGCCTGGAGACCCCCGCACCCCAGGCCCCCGCGCGCCGCCTCTTGCCCTGAGCACCACCTGGATCCTGCGCACCCTCCCGCCCAGGACCGCCCGACCCCTGACACCCCGACTGCTCCTCCCGCACGTCGAGAGCGGCTTATCCCGCCAGCCACTGTTGCTGCCCTCGAACCCCAAGATCCCCACCCCCACAATAAATATGATCTGAAGCAGCTACCTGTTTGTTTGTGTGAGTGGCGGTGTCGGGGCGGGGGGTGGGGTGGTGGTGGACTGGGTGGTGCTGGCTGCCCTTAGATGAGGGAAGAGAGTCTCTGCCCTTGATCCCCCACTTTTGAGACAACTCCCCTCCCAGCCTGTGCCTCTCCTCACTGGGGAGGTATCCATATGTAGAATGGCAGTGCCCACACAGATTCTGTGCCCCGTTTCTAGGCCTCCTTTAGGAATGAAGAGCCCAAACGGCTTTGAGGCGACTTTCAGGGCTTGCTGCAGCATCTTCCGAGGGTCCATCCTCCTAAGGACCAACTAGGTGGTCAAGGGGAGGCTGTTAATGAGGCATGAGAGTAGCGCTTGGGCTTGGGCCCGCATGTCCATAGCCACATCCGAAGGCCCCCTGAGATGGGGAGGGGCTACTGACCGGAAGCGAAAAGGGAGCGGGCTGCAGGCTGCAGGCTGCTCTCCCAACCTGGTCACCTCCTGGCAAGGTAAGAGGATAAGATATATTTTATGTTTGTCAGCTTGATGTATGTTTAAGTATTTAGCTATATAATACAGGGGCCACTCTATCAGTACTCTTACCCTAGCCCTGAAGATTATCAGTTGGTGTGGTGGTAAATGGCTTGTGGTCATGGCCTTTCCACTGGCAATTCCCTCTGCCCCCTTGTTATCTCCAAGTTTTTCCTCAAATGTCACCTATGTAGTCAGGCTTTCCTTGGCCTCTCTGTCACCGAATTACTTCACCTGCCTTTAACACAAAGTCTTTATATATATCTACAAGGGCAGCAATTTGTAGTGTCTTGCTTGACTCTACATCTTTTGTACCTCAAACAGGGCCTTGCACACAGTGGGTTCCCCCACATTTCCTGAATGAAAGAATTCTCACAATTTAAGTAACATTCTCTCCAGTCTCATTCCCACCCACATAACACTAGGCATGGAGGCAGCTTTGAAACTTGAGAACACCATTTATTTAAGTTTGCACAAAATCTCTCAACTTGACATAACATAACCAACACACTACAACTCACATTGTCAAAAAGCCCATCACCAAATGAAAACCTCTCCAGGAGAGGGTCCATCTATCCCCAGTACACCAACAGTGTCCCACACAGCTACTTGCTCTGGGAGTCTCATGTGAAGGAACCACCACCCTGGTTTGGGAGAGGGTCCACTTTTCTAGACCAAAATCTTCAGGCCACAGAGCAGCCACAGCGGCACATGGCCTTATGGTGCCGGGCTTTATCCCCACCTGGCCCTGTCATGGCCTCCTTTGCCATGGCCTCCCGGACTCTTTGGATCTCATGGATGAGCAGGGAAAAGGCCTCCTCCACACCTTGGCGTGTCTTGGCTGAGGTCTCCACGAAAGGGGCCCCCCAGCTCTTTGCGAGGGCTGCAGCCGCGGCATGAGCATCTCCGGTGGTGGTCACCAGGTCACACTTGTTGCCCACAAGGACGAGGGGCTGGGTGTGGTGAGGGCCCCAGGTGGCCCGCATCTGCTGCAGCTGGGCTAGAGACGAGGGGTCATCGAGGGCGAAGACACCCAGCACACCATCCCCAATCGCCACACACTGGTCACGCAGCGCCCGATGAGTGGCCTGCCCTGCCGTATCCAGCACGTTCAGAATGCAGCCTCCGTGGTCCAGGGCCATCTCCTTCCAGTAGGAATCCTGGATCGTGGGGTCGTGGTCTTCCACGAAACACTGGTGGTTCAGCTGGATGGTCAGCGCGCTCTTGCCCACACCACTTGCGCCTACCACCACTGCCTTGTACTCAGGCAGCTTTTTGCCAACACCCCTGGAGGGTGCCCGAGCCCTGTGGCTCTGCTCCTGGGAGCTGGGGCTCCATGTGCCCAGGCCCAGATCAAACATGCTCGGCTTTGTTGGCAGCGCCATGCCCCCAGTGGGCAGCTCAGGGAAGAGATGTGGATGGCAGGCCTGCAAGCAGGAAGAGAAGAAAGACAGCAGGGGTGAGGTGGGGCAGGAGGTTAGGTGAGACCATTTAGTGGCAAAGGGACTGCTGGGTGTCATTGAATCAACCTTTACTGAGTGTGTAGTGTGTGCTAATCACCTAAAATACTATTATTTATGTTGTTTATTCTCTCATTCCCTTTTCCAACATAAACTGTGTGAAGGCAGGGACTTTTTAAAAAATATGTTTTGACAGAAATAGACTCACAGACATAGAATATAAACTTGTGGTTGCCAAGGGGGCGGGGGGTGGGAAGAGATAGACTGGGATTTCAAAATTGTAGAATAAACAAGATTATACTGTATAGCACAGGGAAATATATACAAGATCTTATGGTAGCTCACAGAGAAAAAAATGTGACAATGAAAATATATATGTTCATGTATAACTGAAAAATTGTGCTCTACACTGGAATTTGACACAACATTGTAAAATGATTATAAATCTATAAAAAATGTTTAAAAAAATAAAGTTTTGAAGAGTGATTTATGTAGGTTTTTTTTTGTGGAGGAGGGAGGTAATTAGGTTTATTTATTTATTTTTAGGGGAGGTACTGGGGATTGAACCCAAGACCTCCTGCGTGCTAAGCATACGCTCTAACACTTGACCTATACCCTACCGCCCCGTCCCCGACAGGGATTTTTAAAAACAGCTTTATTAATTTATATACTGTAAAGTTAATCTAGCCAAGGTGTACAATTCAATGCTTTTTAGTTCCTTCATGGAGTTGTGTGACAATCTCCATAATCTAATTTTAGAACATTTCCATCACCCGGAAAAGAAACCCCTCCTCCACTAGCAGTCCCTCCCCATTCCGGAGGGAGGGCAGGGATTCCGTCAGTTTTGATTTCAGATTGTGTCACTGTTGGATCCCAGCCCGGCACGGTGCCAGTCATAGTTTATCCTGAGCAACATTCCTGCCCCCAGGGAGTTTATGTTCTAAAAGGTGGGGACAATAAACCAAATCCGTAAGCAAATTATGAGGTCTGTTAGCCATTATCATTGCAATTTAGTCTTTATTACTCATGCAACACACAGCTATTGAGAACCTACTGTGTGGCAAGGACAAAAGAGGTGGGGAAAAAAATAAGATAACAAACCCCGTCTCTCAGGAACATGACATTCTAGTCAGGAAGACGGACGGACGGACAACAGCAAAGTTTCAGCAGTAGGTGATAAGCCTTGGGAGGTGCTGGGTTAACGTTAGGCATTTCTATTATAATTTAATTTTCTTTCATTAATTGAAGGATCTTCCCGCTCGCCAGGCATTGTGATGGGTGCGGGTGGGGGGCGGGGATAGGGCCCGAGAACAAAATAGACTAAAGTCCCTGCCCTTGGGGGGATTAGATTCTGGAAGTGAGAAAGAGACAATAAACAAGATAAGCAAGTAAATTACCATGTAGTTAGAAGAGGATGGGCACCCAGCAGGTGCTCAATTAGTGTGCACTATTAATAGCAAGTCACCATTAACGCATTCAATACACATCCTCGTCTCGGTTCGGTGTGTGGCCTCAGGAAATGCATCATAATAGCCGAGGTCCTAGTCTCCCGGGAAGCCCTGGGGCAGTGGCATCTGGGGTGGCGAGGGGAGGGGGGAGGTGTCCATGGAGGGTTCGGCCGAGTTTGGGATCTGGGGTCAGAGTTGGGGGGCCGGGTCCCAGGTGGGGATGTTGCCCACGCTGGCCCAGAAAGGAGGGGGCCGCGATGGGGAGATGTGAGCTGGGGACAGAGCTCAGGCGTTGCGCCCTGTGTGGGGGCATAAGATGTGGCTGTGAGGATAGCCTGGGTGAGAGGGAGGCACCTGCAGGAGAGGTGGATCTTGGGGACATTCTGAGACGGGCCTGACTGGGTGGCTGAGGGACCGGAGGGTGGGGAGGGGTCCGGACGGCGGGAGACGTGAGGCGCCCTGACCCGGGGCCGGGGCGGGCTGGGCCGGGTACGGGGCCCTGGCTCTGGGCGCCAGC